TGGTTAAGGCTTGCTCTGGTAGTTATTACTGCCTCTCCTGCAATATGTAATTGTGGAATAAATTTACTTTTATTGAACCCTTACTTATCCTGTAAACATGGAATATTAAGCTAAAGGCAGCTGCTGTAAAAATGTAAGCTGCTATATATCTTAACTTCTTGCACTTGTGTTTTTTAAGGTAAAAGCAAATACTTCTTCACACAAAACCCCCAATTTTGCATTGTTTTTTTTTCCCCAAGTAGTTAAAACAGGTATTTATTTAAGCAAGTGTTTATCCCTGCTGATGTTTTTCACTCAGCCATCAGCATTCCAGCTTCAGCTGAAAGCCATTTTCTGTCTGTCCATTGGTGAAGGAAAATTTCCTGCATTCCCATCTTTTGCACAAGTGGCAGGTTTTAACTGAACCTGCTGTTTACTCGCTCTTGGACATGCAGAGGAGATGAATGGTCTTATACAAGTTTTTATGAGAAACCAGTTTTGATTTAAATTAGTGGTAATTGGAGAAAAGTGTTTGTGTCTCCTAAAATAGGCAGCACCCCTGTACTGTGATCACTAAGAAGAGAAATGGCACCAGATGTTACAGGTCTTGTATGCCTGGAGTCTTCCTTTTTAATATTCCAAGCTTTACATGGTCAAAGCACAGAGCACAGGAATAACTGTATTCCCTGCCTTTTGGGAAGGAAAAGTGATCAGACTGCTGGTACCTTTGGGTGTTTCTCAGGATCCATCTTAGGAGCAGGGAGAGACCAGGCCTGAGCCTAGATGGGGTTTCCTCTCAACTCATCTCTCAGGTGCTGCTGAATGTTCTCCATTTTCCGAGATGTGGAACAGGATTAGACCCTCACCTTATGCCTTGAACTCCTCCTAGGGAGTATTTCCCCTGAGGTCTCTGCCTTTCTTGTCCCTTGTCCCTGGATGGAACTGTGCTGATGAGGTTGATGCCTCGGGTTTTAGTTTTTATGTTTTTCAGATTCTCTGCTACTTTAGTCTGAGCTTCCATTAGGGGATGGTGAGCTTTCTTCACAGAGCAGAGAGACAAAACAATTCTTTCTCTAGCTAGAGACCAAGGACAAATGATCCAAATCTCAGGCCCAAGAGCATAAACAATGTGGACTGAAGAGAAGAAAACAAGAAGGTTGGAACTGCATGGGCTAAAGCTGGAATTGGACAATGAACTCCAATATGCAAATGGAGCAGAACTTATAAAAGTAAGAGACCCTGTGACCAGTTGTCTATTTTTGTGATCATTTTAGTTCATCTTGGGTGCAGCCCTGGCTGGGCTCTTGTGCTGCCCAAGGTGGATCCATTGAGAAGATCCTTTTAATAAATCCCTACTCTATTTTTTAACTCTGCCTGGCCTCTGTTCTAGGGCAGCCTTCACAAGGCATCAAGGTCGTGGAGGAGCTGCCTATGACCAACCCTTTGAACCAGGGCAAGTCAGCGCTGTCAGTGCAGCTCCTCTGGCACCAGCACTCCCAGGGGGAATGAGCTCCCAAATGGAGCACCAGGAGGAGGCAGTTCCTTATGGAGGCACCGCCCTGGTCCTTCCCCGAGGGAATTCAGTCCTCTGCTGGTCAGCCCGAGGGCTTTGCTTGGGGAAAATGGGTTGTGCTCACTTGTTTCCAGTGGAAAATGTGGTTTGCACGGCGATCTGCAGAGTCCGATGTGCAGCTCCAAGCTCTCCTGCTCAAGGCTCCCTGAAAGGCACATTGGCAGGGAGGGAGCAGGAGATGCTGAGGAATGAGTGGGTTTTGACTAACAAAAAGTAGCGTTTGAGATGGAGATGGCAGGGTGTGGGAAGGTTAATTTTGTTGTGGTGCGCTAGGTCAGGCATGGAAGAAGAGGCATTCAAGCCAAGAGCTTTCCCTCCCAGCTCGGAACAGGAATTTCACATGCTTTTATTTATCAATGCCTTCAAGCAGAATACAGCTCCCAGTCATTCTGGCTCATGGAATTAAAATTTAAATTAAAAAAAAATAAGCATCAGTCCCCTTCCAAGGCCAATATTTGCTAAATATTAGGTCTCCTTGTTTACAACTCCAAGTATCCATGGCATATCCCTGTTTATTTGCAGAAGAGTTCTTGACTTTCCATATAAATTTTATTTAGCTTTTCCTAATACTGATATATTACAATAAAATCTGTCCCAAATTGATAGATTGAGTATATCAAGTACTCAGTCTAGATTGAGTATAACAATTGATAGATTGTTATACTCAATTGATAGAGTGAGTATAACAAGTATAAAGGTACAGACAATTCAAGTGATTTTTAAAAAGAGTTGAAATGCTTCTCACTCTCTGGATTATTTTTGATATCTGCCATAGATTAAGTTGGTATTCATCTGTTTTAGAAATATTTTTTAGAGAGTATTAAATTCAAATATTGTGTTCAGAAGCAGCTTTGGAATGAGACAGAACCTGAAGGCTTGGGACAAAAATATTTCTGCTTTCTTGAATTTTTTATTCCCTTTATAGAAGATAATTGTTCTGACAGAGCGAGGAGCTAAGAAATTTGGGGTGAAGAATGGTCTGTTTTAACCCCATCTGTGTCCAGTTTGGGTCCTCCAGCATAACAATGTGGAGCTGCTGGAGTGAGTCCAGAGGAGGCCATGGGGATGCTCCAAGGGCTGGAGCCCCTCTGCTCTGGAGCCAGGCTGGGAGAGCTGGGGGTGCTCACCTGGAGAGGAGAAGCTCCAGGCAGGGCTTAGAGCCTCTTCCTGTGCTTAAAGGAACTCCAGGAGAGCTGGGGAGAGACTGGGGACAAGGGATGGAGGGACAGGACACAGGGAATGGCTTCACTGCCAGAGGGAAGGGATGGATGGGATATTGGGAAGGAATTGTTCCCTGGGAGGGTGGGCAGGCCCTGGCACAGGGTGCCCAGAGCAGCTGTGGCTGCCCCTGGATCCCTGGCAGTGCCCAAGACCAGGCTGGATGGAGCTTGGAAGAGCCTGGTGCTTTGCTCATGTTCAGGCCATGTGTTTGAGTCACTGAGTTCAGACTGTCTTGGGTTCCTTCCCCTTCCTTGCCCAGACTGTGCTGTGTGTGTCAGTGTGATGCTCGCAACACCCCTGTACTCGCACTGCAGGGACAAGGTAGATACTTCCCTTGGCCAATTATCTCTCCCATGTGAGAGCAGCAGCTTTTGCAGATGAGGTGGTTTTCATTCATTTGTGGTTTTTGTTCAGTTCTGGTCTTAATTTAGGTCTGTACCACATATGAAGACAAATAAATCCATGTGCATGTGTTAAAATCTGACCTTTGGTTTGCTCTCTTCACTCGCTAATGTGTTTTAAAATATTTTAATATATAGCTTCCCAGGCTCCAGATCAATAACCCAATGGGTCTGAAATGACTGAGTGCTACGATATTCCCCTTTAATTTAAACATGATTAGCTGATGAAGGTTATGATCAATATGCTAGGGGAAGATAAATTAATTGATATCATCCTTTCAGGATGATAAGAGGCCTATTGGAGGTGGGATGTAACTAATGAAGCTGCTGCTTCATATATATGAGCCATTCTTTATACAATGTATTCTCACTAAATCATGGTTATGCCATCATTCATTTACATGAAAAACATAAGCCACAGACCAGTTTGTTATTAAAATTGCATTCATTTGAGAAGAAACTATACTTACACTGTCCCTGCCTGTGCTATAATGTAATGAGGGAAAATAATCTTGATATTTACATAATTGTCTTTTTGTGTTTTCTGAACGAGACAGACTGGGGTCTGTTGGATTAATTCCAGCAAATTCTGGGGGACTTTTTAAGGAGATGCCAGTAAATGCCACTGGTTTTGGTGGAGGTGTTGCAAGTGACTGCAAACTCCCTGGCACAAGTTTCATGTAGTGTTTCCCTTTGAGAAGAAAACAGCATGCAAGGAAGCTAAATTTAGTTAGTAGCATTTTTGCTTAGCCACTACACAAGTACCTGTTTCCAAAGACTGAAATTTTGATTTGTTTTTAATTTGTGACTCAAAAGGTAGTAATAAATTTAATTTTTATGTATTTATGACATAAAAAGAGCTCTTTCCAAAGGCTTTACCTGAATTAGCAGCATGAGCTCAAATTCCAGTGTGTGATGGGATGAATTTCTGAAATAGTTTGACTTGTTTAAATTGAAAGATTGTAGGAGATGTTTGGAAGTTGCTGCATTCCACATCAGTTCTGTTTGATCTTTTTTATTATGGGTCTTCCAAGCTGTGCATAGAGATGTTAATGGCTCTGATCCCTGTATCCATTTGATAAATCTGCTTTTCTTTCCATGCTGAAGAGAATATCTTGATAAATTGCAAAAAAAACAAAAAAAAACCCCAAAAAAACAACTAGGCATTTTTCCAGCTCTGCTGCTGCTGCTAAGGAATAAAAGCTAAAATTAGAAATAATGATACAACTTCTTTCCATAAAGAATTTCACTGGGATGTGTGGTACCACCAATCCAGGCATTTATTTGATGTCAGAGACCCTTTATCAGTTCTAATATTCCAGTTTGAATTCCAGTTATCAGTTCTAATATTCCAATTATCTTTGGTTTGGGCTGCACAGGGGATTGCCCTGGTGGCTAATAAAAACAGGAAATCAATCTTATTCCTTGGCAGCAGAGACCAGCCATCTTCTGTCTGCCAGGAGAATATCCCAAAGAAGAATGGAAGATATTTGCTACCATGAGCTTTGTTAGTGTGGTGTTACAAACACAGAGGGAACTTGGTATAAAATTCCTGGTATTGCTTTTTGTTATTTTTTTCCCTGAATCCTCTGGTGCTCACTTGCTGGAATGAGACTTCTGGAGTCATTTTCCATGTGGAGAACCCAGCTGGAGTCTCCCATGGAGCATTGTGGAAAACCAGCACCCTTCCCTTGTAACACAATGTTTGGAGCAGGCTTTGGTGGTGATCCCCCCATTTGTGTGTTGTTCATTGTGTGTTTTCCCACCGTGCCCTGCTGCCCACGTGTGCTCTGCCTTACCTGCCTGGATGTTTTGTTTCCCTTCAGTTGCCCAGAAGATCGTTTCCACCAAGAAGAAGCAGCAGCTCTCAATCGGACCCTGCAAATCTCTGCCCAACTCTCCGAGCCACTCCTCCGTGTGTTCTGCCCAGGTTTCTGCCATACATATCAGCCAGGTACAGATAAAATCAATGCTTGGAAAAGGAACTGATAAGCTGCTTTTCATCTCTGATGTATTTCGTGCCATTTCAAGTGCTCTCTTTGCTGCTTGAGAGGTAGTTGCCATTTTTTTAATGCTGCCAGTGGTCTGTAATTTGAAGTGATAGTTGATTTTTTTTATAGATTGGCTTGACTTCAAGAAACAAAGTAGCAAGGCAGAATAATTAGAATAATTTGGCTTTAAAGCCTGCTTGGAATGATAAGCCTGCTTTGATCATTGTCACTGACACCCAGCAGCCTGCAGGTCTGAGTAGGCCAGTCATTACAGTTGCAGGATTTGCTGTGCTGTGGTTCAACATCCCCTTGCTGTGGTTTTGGTGGTTACTCTCACTCAGCTGTGCTAAGCTGGTGTATCCCAGTGTTTAGAGTGCTGGAATTTTACACTCAATGGTATTTTGAGAAACATATGGCTAATACCAACATTTTCTGACTTGCACAACTTTTAGCCACGTGTATTGCCCGCTCCTCTGTTTCCCTGGCGATGCCCTTCCTCAGTGTCTTTGTTTTCTAGTGTCAGCTGATAATCTCTGGGCTTGTTCCCAGCTGGGGTGGATATAAACTGAAAGATGTCAGATACCCACAGCCATTCTGGTGTGGTTTTCAGTCTAAACTCAATAATTCACAGGTTATTTTGCAGTGCTGAGCCACCCACGTGAGGATTTGTTTTGGCTATGGACCTTTATCCCACACAGTGCCTGCTTTTTGGCAGAAGGGAGTAACTTCTACCACTGGGTTATCACCCTAAAGATGCAGGTGCCAGTTTAGTCTTCAGAGTTCTCTGCTGTGACTTACTCTGCTTCAGGCTGAGTCCTGATACAACCTCAGGCTGTGGCTGTGGCTTTTGCTGATGAGCCCAAAGAGAAGGCTGGAGCTCAGACCCCCTTTCGAAAGCAGGTGCTGAGTGAGCTGTGTTCTCCTCAGAAGAGCCCTGGCACCTTCTGGTGAAGAACAAGTTCTCACCTGAGAAAGGTTTTCCCCTCTCCAGGTTTCCTCAGCCACTCTGTCTCTGACCAGTTCCTGGCCACAGGCCCTTGGGACTCATCCTCTCTGAGAGCATTTTTTGTTAATGAAGCTTTTTTTGGTGAAGAACATCAAATATCTAGAGGCTCACTGGTTTCCCACCCAAGTCTAGTTTGAAGGTCAACAGCAAACACCAAATTCTAGACCAGTACCATCACCTATGCAGCAAACTTCTTGCCATTGATAAGAACTATTTGGGAAAATCAAGGCAAGGTAGCTTTTGTGATAAGGCTCCCTAGATTCTGTTTCAATAAAAGTGAAATAATGTTCTTTACTGCCTTTGCCAGGTGTCATAATTACCTGAAGGGGCAATTGCATCACCAGTCAAAGATGTCTCTCTTCTGAGACTGATGTCATGCCTAAAAGTAGAGGCCAGAAATCTGTTTCATGTTGTATCTCCTTTGTGCTACACTTAAAGGCAGTATGACCTTGTTTAAGGGAAGGAAGCTGAATCCTTATCCCAGACTTAAAAGAACTTTGCAACTGCAATTCCAAGTTTAAGATGATCTGGGGCAAGATTTGCCATCTCTGATCTTGGCTGGAAGACTGGCTGGTGTCTTGCCCTTTGGAACATCTCTCTTGGCGTAATGATGTTTCTCTGAAGATTTCCTCCATGAATCAAACCCGTTATCGGTGCAGTGCCCTGCCACTTGCATTCTCCACAGGAGCAGAGGCCTTCAGAGGCAGTGGTTACACACAGCACTTCAGATAAAGTCGGATATTGTTCCATCTCTGGTTGGATCATCCTGGGGATTGAACTCCTGCAAACTCTCCAGATGACTCTGCAGTCAAAAGCTTAGGCTTTAGAAAAAAAAAAAAAAGAGGTATTGAGTGTCACTTTAACCAGACTAGTCCTTAACATAACTTGAGGGGAATTCTAAGGCTCAGCACCATCCAGGGCTTCGGTGGTTTCAGTCTGCCAGCTTGGGCAGGGCTTGGAGCACGCTGGTCTGGTGGAAGGTGTCCCTGCCCATGGCAGGGTGTTGGAATGAGATCAACCTTGAGGTCCCTTCCAATCCAAACCATTCTGGGATTCTGTGAAAGACTTGTTTCTGTGTGTGGGTGCTTCTCTATCTGCATATCCAGGGGTCTGAGGTGGTGCCTGCCTCAGTAAGATCCCTTCCAGGACATGCTCTCAGGAATATCTGTAGTTACATATTTCCAGAGGCCTGTCCCACACAAAAAGATGCTTCCTATTCTAAAGACAAAATTCACTTGTAGATGCTCCTTAATTTTCCTTCTCACTTAGTTTTTAATGTGTATGTCAGTCAAGGGGAAGGTTTTCCTTGAAAGCCCTTGATATCCAGAGCCAACAGACCTTGCAAGTACTTCAGGTACCTCTGTTGGCTTTCAGGGCAGCACAGAATGTATGGAAATGTATGGAAATAATTTTATTCTCAAATCCAAGGATTATAATTTCTGACCATGATGGACAGAACTGTTGTATACTCTGTCCACAAGAGGGGTGGTGCAACATAACTTAAATTCTGTCTGCTGCATTCAGGTATTCCAGTCACAGCACACTGTCTGGCTTTTTGGAACGCTTCAAGAGGTAGACTGAGTTGTTTAGAGGGGAAGAAGCGTTGTGCAGTGGATTGGAGACCTCCTAATTGGCCAGAGAGCATCTTGGAATAATTCTTTTATTTTTTACAAGTACAGACCAATCACTTCTCTATCTCTCTATCTCTATCTGTCTGTTCCACTTTTCATTCCCACATTCCCCTATGCTTTGGCAATCTTCCTAGGCCCGATATGCTTGTATACCATGCTAAGTCTAATTTCAAAGAAGAATGAGTTCCCTTTTCCCTTACAAAAGCCCACAGAGACATTCCTTTTTGCTAAATTCATCCTGGTGCTGAAGGAGTTGCTTGTCCTTTACACCTGACATATCAGGTGTAAGACATCTAAGACATTAACTTAGAAGAACAGTGCCAATAAAAACAATTCCAAAGGGCTGTTTCCTCTGCCCAGCCCCTGGAAGTGGAGATCTGGTTCCCAACCCCTGAGGCTGCTCAGCTCAGCCCTACCTTTGGTCCTCAGTGCCTCTGTGTGGTGGCTGGAAAACCTGCTGAGGATACCTGCAGCTGGGTTTGAGTTTGCCCTGTTGTAAAACAGCTGGAAAAGCCTTTGGCACAACAGCCGTGGTTGCTGTTTGTGTGAAAGGCTCCAGGCCCCTCTTCAGACAAACTGACGTGCAGATTCCAGCCAGGAATCCCCAGCAGTGAGCTTACTTGTGAACTGCACTTTTGAAGTAAAGATGGAAAGATTGTTTTACCAGTGATTATAATTCCTTGAAATCTGCAGTCTGTATATGTTTTCACACTGGCTGGCTTTCCCGGAATTCAGCTGTTATGCTCTGCTATGAGAGGAGATTGAAAATGGCACCATGTTCCCATGTCTGCCTGGTCTCTGTGCATTCCTCTATGACAGAGGGAGTTACCCATCCTTTGGTGATGGAATTTTCCTTGATATCCAATCTAAACCTCTGCTCCCTCTCCTCCTGTCCCTGTTCCCTGGAGCAGAGCCCGACCCCCCCGGCTGTTCCCTCCTGTCAGGAGCTGTGCAGAGCCACAAGGTCCCCCTGAGCCTCCTTTTCTCCAGGCTGAGCCCCTTCCCAGCTCCCTCAGCCCTTCCTGGGGCTCCAGCCCCTTCCTAGCTCTGTTCCCTGCCCTGGACACGCTCCAGCCTCTTCTTGTCCAGCTGTGTGGACTGCAGTGCCAAGAGTTGTGTTTCCTGGTCAGCAATGTCATTCTCCAAGGAGATTTGTATTATTCCTGTGAAGATGTGGAGCTTAACATCTGCTACAAAGCTCAGGTGTGGCTGCCACACCAGCTCACTCCTTACTATCTGTTGTAAATCTGTAGTGATGCATTGTTTATGTTTGCACAATGCCTCCAGACAGTTTTTACTACAATATGATTGTCCAAAAATGTAAATTAAATGACTGAAAGCAAAATGCAGTCAGCTTGGTCATCCATTATTTTGTTCTATGTGAGACCTAATTATTGTTAAGCTTTTTTAAAATTTTCTGGAATGTCAAAACTAAAACTAAAAGAGGAATGATAATGTATTTAATGCCATATATATCGCAGTCCTTTTGTATTTACAGGCTTGTTTCTAAGTAACCTAATATTTATTTAGAACAAGTATTTTAGATACCTCCCAGTGAGGGTGGGCAGGCCCTGGCACAGGGTGCCCAGAGCAGCTGTGGCTGCCCCTGGATCCTTGGAAGTGTCTGAGGCCAGGCTGGATGGGGCTTGGAGCAACCTGGAACGGTGGAAGGTGTCCCTGCCCATGTCAAGGAACTGGAATTAGATGATCCTTGGGTTCCTTTCCAACCCAAACCATTCTGTGATTTCCAAGTGTTTCTCTGATTGTGTTTTTCATTGTTCCAGCCATTGGCTTATTTTGAAATAATCTCAGAGTTTTATTTATAAAGTTGGTAATCCACTGGGCTTGGTGAGAAGAGAAACATTGCCTGGAGGACTAAGTTTATAGAAGCTCTCTGTGTGTCTTTGGGGAATAGAATATCCAACAGATCTGTGTTCTCCTTGAGGAGTAGTTTATGAATCACTTAGAAATCCAGGAGACAACTACAAAAAGTGTAAAATGATGCTATAAAATAATGAAGGATTTAAAAGGTAAAATTTTAGGGAATCCTTCATGTTCTCCATCTGGGAAGTAGGCTCCTAGGGTATAAATCTCTTAATTTCAATTAAAAAAAAAATATTTCCTTGCCACCCTTCTCATCTCCAACACATCCAGTGGTTTGGGAACAAGCTGCTACAGAGACAGGAAAAGCAAATGTGGGGTAATTGAGGCCACCTCCTCCCAGCTTGGCCTGCTCATCTGTCCAGTGTTAACCATTCTCCATTAGGACACAAAAAATTATCCTTTCAATTACATTATTTCCTCTCCTTTGTTTTGTACACATCTCCCAGTTCTGCTGCTACTTCCTCTGGCACTTGAGAATGTTGTAGGAAGTGTCTCTGAGCCTGCTGTTGCTTGCATTGCTTCATCTCTGCTCCCTGCTTTGGAGAAGCTGCAGGAATCAGAAGAGAACTTGGAACATGCAAAGACTTCAGCTGGGGGTGTTAGGGATTGTCCCCTGCTTTTCCATCCTGATGGGTTGCAGCTTGAGATCCCAATCCCCAAGAAGCATGGGGGAAGTCCCCTGAGGCATCTTTCTCCTCAGGAATTCTGGAAATACCCTCTTACCACCTTTCCTTGCTTCCTCTGGGAAGCTTGAGTGCTTTAAAGATGGCCTTTCCCCCTTCTCTGTGCATCCCAGAAGTTTCTTTTTCCCTCCAGAATTACATGTGAGTTATTGCCCAGCCCTTTCATCCACTGCTGCTCCTCTATTTTCCATCCCAAGGAGGCAGAATTTTCCCTGTTGTCCTGCCCCAGTCTCCCATCGGCACATAGAGCATCTCCTCCTTCAGTGGTGTTTTTAGTACTTGCTTATGTCATGTGTGATAAGTCCTTTTAAAGAAAAAATTAAGACTTTTTTCTTAATCACCTTTTAGTCCTTCCCATTCTGTCTAGTTTCCTCACCTTCCTCCTTTTAGGAATTTACCTCTGTTCATTTATTGTATTATAGGCTCAAAGCTTTATTTCTTTCAGGACTGGGATGTAACATCACAGTTTTGGCTGCTTTGAATAAATTGGAATATCTTACAAGTTTTGTATCTTTGCACCAGTGGCTTCAGCAAATCCTGTGCAGGGCCAGGAGTTGGACTCGATTGTCCTTGTGGGTTCCTTGCAGCTCAGGAGATTCTGTGATGCTTGGAATACAGTGGGATTTATCCAACCCCTGGGTAGACATTTTACAGCCCTGGACTATTTTCTTTATCAGCTCTCAGTGATCTGGTGTCTCCAGAGTAGGTTTAACTCCAGCTATGCAACTCTATGGCATTGGGTGTTTTCTCCTGGGTTAGAATTTAGTTTAGTAGAAATGCAGATTTGGAAGGTTTTCCCCAATGTTTTGCTTACTTGTACACTAGAAAACAAATGAAACTATTGATACCCAGTTACGGTTATATTCTGTGTAGAATGAAAATGTGCCTACTGTATAAACAGAACTATCTTTTGAAAAATAATGGTGGGGGAGATGTTTAAAGGCTTGGAATAGAAATGTGTGGAAAAGTGGCAGTAGGGCAGCCCTGCTGAGCCCCTGAGCCCCGGCTGCACTTCTGCGTAAATTTGGAGTAAATCAGGAGTAAATAAGATACAGCTGTGGATTGTCATTTCTTGAAAGCAGAGTACCACTGTTTAAAATTCCCTTTAATCCTTGCAGACCAGTAATGGAGGAGGGAGTTTAAGTGATTATTCCTCCTCTGTCCCATCAACTCCAAGCACCAGCCAGAAGGAGCTGCGGATTGATGTTCCTCCCACTGCCAACACACCAACTCCTGTCCGTAAACAGTCCAAGCGCCGATCCAACCTCTTCACGGTGAGTGAGCCAGGGGACCCTCTGCTGCTCTGGGGACAGCCTGAGCCTCACCCCCCTGCAGCTGGGCTCTGCCTGCTGCTTGGGGACAGGCTGAGCCTCACTCCCCTGCAGCTGGGCTGCTCTGATGGCACAGGAGTGCTGAGACAGAGCTGTGAACTCGAAAACAAGCACATCTTGGAATTATCGTTGGGTGGTTCTGTTTGAGTCTTAAAGAGGAGCACTTTTCTTAGGAAGACAGGCTGAGAGACTTGAAGTTGTTCAGCCTGGAGAAGAGAAGGCTCTAGAGAGAACTTAGAGTCCCTAAAGGGGCTCCAGGAGAGCTGGAGAGGGACTTCCACTGGCAGGAAAGGGATAGATGAGATATTGGGAAGGAATTCCTCCCTGTGAGGGTGCTGATGACCTGGCACAGGGTGCCCAGAGCAGCTGTGGCTATCCCTGGAAGTGTCCAAGGCCAGGCTGGACACGGCTTGGAGCAACCTGGGATAGTGGAAGGTGTCCCTGCCCATGGCAGGGGTGGCACTGGATGGGCTTTAAGGTCCTTCCCAAACCAAACTATCCCATAAATATCCCATTCTACTTTTACTATATAGAATCAGTTCATTTTTTTCTTTTCTAGGGTTAAAAAGGTGATGGAGGTTAAAGTAACTTTTTCTTTCCAAACCACCTGTTTTTTGCTTCACTGAGAAGCAAAAAAAAACCCCAAAATCAAATAGAAAGCTGCCTGGTGCAATATGACAAGTCTTTGTTATGCAGAAGTAGTTAGGGAGATGCTAGTGAAGCCCTGGGTGAAGGTTTCCTTGGTTTAAGCCCTCTTGCTGAAAGCTCTGGGATTGTGCTGCAGGTGTAATTGTGGTTTGTAAGCAGTTTTTTGACAGGTCACACATGTCATAGCAAACTCAGAATGGCTGTGGGCTCTCGTGTAACTCCCGTGGGGGTTGTAGCTACATGTTGGTTGTGCTTAGGAACCCACAACCTTCCTGTCAACATGGAGAATTTATATATATTTTATTCCAAAGGTGATCTCATGCTCAGTTTCTATGTACAAACCAGGAAAAACCATTTCCTGAGACTCTGAGGGCAATCTGGGCTCTCCACCTTCAGCAAGTAGGAAACTTTTGTGACCATTTTGGAACTCTGAGTGACAGCAGAGAGCCCCAGGGATCCTGTGTCCCTCCCAACAGAGGTATTTTGATTAAAGCCCAGATCTCCCAGTCCTATGATGAAGGAGAGGAAATCATGCATTTGTGTTTGGGTGCAAATATGTAGGTGGAAAACAACAAAATGAGTGGCCTGGGAAGAAGTGTCCCAGCTCTGGCACCCGTGTTTGATAACAGTCATGCAGATTTCTTCCCATTGGTGGGAATAATCTGGAGTTTGGAGAGAGGATTCCAGAGTTCCCAGCCCCACTAGATGTCAGTGTCAGCCCAGAAACCAGCAGCAGTCAGAGCTCTGGAAGCAGAGCTGGGATGCTGCTGCATCCATGGCCAGGCTAAAGGATGTGTGAGCTGCTGCCAGGGCTCTGGAGGTGGTGCTGACATTTGGGGAATTGGGGATGTTGCAGTTCGGGGCAGCTGTAAATTTGAGAAAGGGAGGAGAGAAAGCCAGACCCATCTGCAGTCACAGGAAAGCTTTGAGAAGAATGTTAAGTCAGCTGTAAAGAATCAGACTAAAGCTCTGGTTTCTGATAATTAGTGAGAGCCATATTTACTAACATGAGAGGGTGTTGATAGTTGTCTTAATGTCTGATAATTGGGAAAAATAATAATAATTTGCCTTTGCAGATTTAGTTGTGTCTTTTAAGGTGGGTATAGTGAGATTGTTTAATGACTTGCTCTGTAATCTATGTCCTGAAGTACTTAACACCCACTCTGCTGTAACCCAGCTTCTGTGCCAAGTTATAACCTGGAATTATTTAATTGAATAAATAGACAACTACACAGAAAATGCTGGTTATGAACAGAGTGTGTAATTAAAATCTTTTACTGTTTAGCTCTGGGTTTCTTGCTGTGCTTCTCTTCCCAGTCACTTATGCCTTTATCTCTTACAGAATCAGATATATTTCTGTTTAATAATTGCAAGTTATTCCTTTTTATCTAGCACAGGTAATCTGTTTAGTGATCTTTAGATCTTCTGTTGTTGGAAGAGGACTGGAATAGGTAGAAAATATTTGATTTTTCTTACTTACAGCTTTTGAGTTAGAATAGGAATGAGAATTTTAAACATGTTCAGTGCATTACATGCAGCATTTCATCTTTTTGAGTTAGAATAGGAATGAGAATTTTAAACATGTTCAGTGCATTACATGCAGCATTTCATCTTTTTGACATTGAGTATTAATGTTTGTTATAAAGCTATTGTTGCAGCAGCTGATTTTCCCCTTAAGTGATAAGATAGATGAAATATTAGAAGAGTTAATATTCTTTGTTTTCGACAGAGTGATAGCAGGGACTACCAAATAATCTTGTATAGGGCAGGTGAGGATTTAAAATGCATTTATGAGGTTCACTGAGCAAGAAGCTGATTCTGACCATGGCTAATTCCACACTGGGTGAGGGAATTTCTGGCATAGAGAACTGCAACACCTTTCCCACATTCAGTGTTACCTGTCTTACATATTTACAGAATTCCAAGGGAGTTTTGGAGACTTGAAATAAGCTCTCTGTCTCAGTACCTACTGTTAGAGATGAGTATTTTACTTCTGGGGTGCTCAGCACTGCTGGTCTGGCTCTGGTTGTGCACAAACTCAGATGTGTTATCTTGGACCAAGTTTTATGTGGATTAAGTCTGTGAGTTACTTCCAGTGCAACAGGGAAATCACTCCAATGATATTGGTGCAGGTGCTTTAATTTTTCCAGACATTTTTTTGTTTGCTGGCACCAAGTTTTAAATAGAACCATTTATTGTGTAGATGTGCCATCAGAAGAAGTCCTGGGAAGTATTGCTCCAGCGTGGTTTGGAGTGGATTTTTTTCTGCTAGGATATAAGACATATTGCATGTGTCATAGGTACAAAAGCACAAAAGATCAGATCTCAGTTTCACTGCACAATTTATCTTTATAAATAGCAGAGCATGCAACGATTCTCCCCTGGAAAACATTAGGGTTTCTGTGACTATAAACAGCTAGAAGGGAATTTGCCTAGCAGAAATCCCTACATTTCTGTACTTTTGGCATTTACCAGTGGTTTGCATGAAGATATTTCCCTTCCATGTGCTGCATGTGATTTCCAGCTGCAGTAACTTTTCGGGAATGTTGATGATTTAAAACCAGAAATGAAAATCAGTGTGTAGATATTCAGCCTGCATTTCAGAGGCAGGGCTCTTTCTTTAAAAAAAAGTCGGATAAAAAAAGAAACATTCAAGCTGACAACTCCCCTCCCAAGGATTTGGGCACCTTCACTGAGTTTCTTTACAATGTCACTTACGGGCGCCTTGCGCCATTGAAGCTTTGTTTTGCCGTGTATTCTTGGGAAGTGGCACTTTCAGAGGCAGAAATCTGTCTTGAAGGACGAGGAACAATAGTTATCCTGCACACTGGATTTCATCCCTCCCACTTGTTTTGCTTGCTTTCATTTGTTCTTTGTTTAATTCCCCAGCACGTCATTCCATTGCCCCGAACCATAGTAACTGGTGACAGGAGCCCGTTCCCGGCGGAGCGGGGCCGGCAGCGCGGGATCCCCGCTGGGTGAATGTGTTGCTCAGAATGCTCTTACTCTGAGTCCTCCTCGCTGCCTTCCCTCCCTCCTCTCTGCCTGCGGGCAGCTGCTCCTGAGTTTTATTCTTCCTCCCACCCCTTTGTGGGATGGGGGAAAGGGGCATTAGCGAGCCGCGATCCCGATTCTCCTCCTGATTTCAGTGTCTGTTCCCGCTGGAAGCGCAGAGCGGGCTCTGCCATGGCCCCGGTTTTCGTTAGCTCCCCACGGCGGTGCCGGACACCGCAAATGGGCTCCTTTCATACATCATCGCCGAGTTGAAAAGCACACGAAAATGTTTTCCCATTCTCAATATTGTGTGAGTAATGTTCCCATTGGAAAGTAATGGAGTGAAGTTGTCACTTGTCAGCACAGTTATTAAGGAGGATGACTCTCAGGTCTTCTTTTTGTAATAAAATAAATCCGTCAAAATCACTGCGCCCATGTGTTCTGTCGCAATAACGGGCTGCGATCTGAATAACATCTTCAAATTCCCATATAACTTGATAAAGTCATGAAGGGAGTGCTGTGACCTTACTCCTTCCAGCCTTGGAGAAAGCCAGGATAAAGCACCTTGGGTTTTAGACATTGGTAAAATTCTCCTCATGCTGATTTTCCCACATTGCGTTCAGGTAACTTTTTCCAGTTACCGGCTTTTCTTGCAGTTCTAACTTTCTAACCATCCCAAAGCAGAAAAAAATAAGTTGAAGTGCATATGGTCAAATCCAGCATTATAAAAATCATATTTCTAAATAGTTGCTGACATTTCTAAGAACCACACAGGTGTGAATTAAATGTATGCATGGCTATATTAAATTTTTTTAATGAGGAGATGGCACATTCATTCCCCTTTGGAGCTACTGTTGGAAACTTCAGAAACGTGTCCTCTGATGTTGTGGGTCTTCAGGCAGTGAAGCTGTAACTCTTTAAACCCAAATGCATTTCAAACTAGTAGATGGTTGAAATTTATGGGTGGTGGATGGGAAATTTATTCATTTTTAGGATGGTTGTGTACTTATGTAGATTCCATTTTAAGCCTATATTTCTCTGCCAAATTTTTTTTTAATTGCCCCGAAGGAAAAAAAAAAGGCAAGTAAAAGCATCCTCTGTGTGCATTTAATGGAGCACAAACTTTTCTTTTCGCTCTGCAGTCTCGGAAAGGGAGTGACCCAGACAAAGAGAAGAAGGTCCTGGAGAGCAGAACAGACAGCATTGGAAGCGGCCGTGCAATCCCAATTAAACAGGTAATGCCGAAATAGTTGTATTTCTTTTTCTCCCCTGCTTTCCATAGTTGGGAGACAAGACACACCTCGGGTCCAGGCACGGCGGTGGCGGGGCCATGCGCCAAGCGGCGTTTGATGTGTGCTGGTGATGAATGTGGAAGTCACTCACTTGACATCAATTAGGAGAGGTTCCTATGTGTATTAAAATAGGATCATTAGAATAAGAAGAGGGAAAATGTGACAACAGGCCTAATGAAGTGCAGTCTGCCGGCCTGCATATGGAGCGGGTTTCTAGGCTGTGCTGGCTTCAAAGCTGCCTTTGTAGAGGGGGCTTTGATTGGGCCGAGTGCTGCCAGGCGCAGGGTAAATCAGATCACTCGACAAGAGCCCCTTGTGATGGCAGGAATAGCCTGATGTGGCCCTAATTTGCTACCACAGACGGACATCTGAACACAGTTTCAGGCTGCTCCCTAACAACGAGGCAATTAGTTGTGATAATCATGGCCGGTGTGTCAGCTGCGCGCTCTTGTTTGTAATTTGCTAATGAAGGAATTGTAACTTTGATTAGGTTCAGTTTCATTTAGACCTTATTATATAAGAGAACGTTTACAGCTGTAATGTGTGGCCTTAATTAAACTTTCTCATTACACAACAGGACTTGAAGCCGAGGATTTGTTTTGGTCTGTTTTTACTAGCCTAGATGCACTTTCATTAGCCTGGAAACTCGATGCTAAATTGTAGCTGGGAACACTCCTTTGAAAGGCAAAAGCAGTGCCAGCGTTGGATGGGAAGTGCTTGGGGAATGAGATGATTTACTTTCTGAAATGAAATGACACCAAATCCGTGTGGTTGAGATCTCCACATTCCCATGGAATGCTTCTCACACAGTTTCTGTATCAGTGTTTGGAAGTGTTTACTCATGTGTGAGAGTTGCCTTGCTAGAGACAAGCTCCCTTTCTTTTCCACATGTTTCTTTCCAGCTGTTTTGGTGCCTTTCCTGCCCTCCAGAGGCTCACTTGCCTCTCCTGATCTTCCCTCAGCCCATGCCTTTTCCTGCTAGGTAGCTAGCCCTGGATGTCCTGTGTGGAGCTGGGTTTACATATTTTGGGGTGTTTTGTGTTTTTCCTCTGTTTCTGGATGCGAGGAGGAGTTGATTTTGTACCCTTAACTATTGTCTGTGATTTTTCTTCCTAAAGTCGTTCTAAAAGACCTTTTGGGACCATCAGGCAGCAAAAATGCTGTAGTGTGTGAATCTCTAGTAGGCAAATTTTAATCAAGCACGCTGCAATCCAGAAGAGCAGTTTGAAAGCAGAGGAGTTCAGTATTTGGCTCTGCATTCAGGGGAGGAGATTCCAGGCATTTAAAGCAAGCTACAATTTTATTTTCCTACAGCTTTTGTATGGTACAGGATGGGTTAGACCAGCTGCAATCCTTTTGGGTAATCCTAATTAAACAAAAGTGCAGCTGAGAATGTAAAACTGAGGAATAGATGTGCCAGTATTAATTCCAGGCATATGTACTGTTCTTTCCTAAAATGCTGTTGTATGGAATTAATTTGATTAAAAATACACTCATAGGAAGAGTGTTGTAAGGTAAACATTGTAAGTGTGATTGCGCCACAGCATGTTGTAAAGAAATATCCCTTACAATATATGGAATTTCTGTATGGAAATCTCCCCTTGCAGCCCTGCTTGTGTACCAAATATGACCAATCTTTTGGGAACATGTCCTCCTTGTTACTGATCCCAGCCATGGTCATTTCATTCTGTCAGGTATGAGCCATTACCCACAAACCCTGGATGTGCATCCTCCACAGATCCATCCCGTTCTTTGGGCTTTGGCCATGGGAGCTTGGCAGGTTTTTGCAGTGCTGCAGGGTGGCAGCTCCCGGTGGGATTTCACATCACACTCAGATGGCAGGAGGATTTTGGAGATCTGGTCTGTAGAGGTGGCTCCAGGTTCAGTTGCTGATACAACCACGTTCTTGGGGGGCTCGACAAGTGCCAGCCCCTTGGAGCTCTCTGAGGCAGCAGAAATTCCAACTTCCCTGGAAAAGTTGGTGCCTTTTATTTCATGCCTTAACTGGGAATAAGACAGATATGAAAGGGAGTTCCTTGACCTAAAAAACTTCATGATGCTGTTCTTCTTAAGATGAGAAACCCCTTCCATTGTGATGATTTCTGTGGCAAATGGAGTCACAGAGTCATTAAGGTTGTAAAAGCCCTGTAAGATTACCAAGTCCTGTGTTTAAACAAGCACTGCCAAGGCCACCACTAACCCATGTCCCCATGTACCACAACCTCATGGATTTTAAATCCCTCCAGGGATGGGGACTCCACCACTGTCCTGGGCAGTTGTGCCAATGCCTGACCACCCTTTCTGTGAAGAAATTTTTTCTAATAGCCAACCTGAACCTTCCCTGGTGCAACTTGATGCTGTTTCTTCTTGTCCTGTCTCTTGTTGCTTGGGATACGTGGCAATAGAAGCAGAAATCTGGTTTAAGGCTGCAGCATTGCCAGGATTGCTGTGGGAGAATAAAACTAAACAATAACAACAACAAAAAAGCTTTACAAAAATACCAAACACCCCACAAACAAATTATAAAACCTCCAGCCAAAATAAGTTTCATGGAAGGCTGGAAATGTTCTGGTTTTGAGGAAAAAATGGAATCCCTCTCAGCACTATGAAAGAGTTGCTGATCATTCTGGGCCCCAGGTATGGACCTGTACAGCTGCCAGTGGGTTTTGGTCAAAAGAAGCCAAGAGTTGCAACCTGCTCCTGCATTCCTGTTCTTGGTGCCTGAATCCCTGTGGGTTTAAGGGAAATCCCTGAGAGTTTGGGAGAGTTTGGATGGTGCCCTGAGCAACCTGGTCTAGGGGAAGGTATCTCCCTGCCCATGGCAGGATGTTGGAATTAAATGGGTTGTAAGGGCCTTTCCAACCCAAACCATTCCAGGGTTCCATGAACGAGGTAAAATTGTGAATAGCCTATTTCCTGCCAAGGAAACACCTCATTCCTCCAGGGCTTTATCCTTAACTCAGAGCAGTCTGGTCAAAAAGAGTTAATGTTCCTATACTCTCTGTCCTTCCTACATGGCAAAGCCGATTTTTCACTGCAGTGCTAAATTTGGTTTTATTGGGCTAAGCCATATAAAACTGTCCTGATGACCCTTCCTGCTCCCAGCAGAAACCCAAAATGTAGGCAATGAAAAGCAGGCTTGTTTTTAAAGAGTGACTGCTCACTCCTGCTAAAATACTCTTAAAGTGAGTGAAATTTTGGAAAGGCAGATTTTCTGAGGAGGTACCAGTACCTTGTGCATGCACAGCCATAAGAGCACGTCTTAAATCCTGGACTTTCAGCAGCTGCTGAGAGGTGGGAATGTCAGAAATTTAAAAAAATTATACAGAATTTCACTTGTGGTATTTAAAAATCTTATACAAATCAGAGTCAGAAAAAGTCTTGAGCAATATTGGCTTCAAGTTAAAATCCATAGGCAGTTCTGTACTTCTGAGAAAGAGGTGCTTAAACTAAGAATATTTAAGCTATTTTCTGTGGCATTGCTAATAATACTCTTAAAGCGAGTGGCTTGCTCTGGTTGGAGAATCCTCCCTCCAAACCCATTTATTCTGGAAAAGAAGTCTTGTTCCTGGTAGCCTGAGTGAATATTTTGAAGAATATTTTGAAGCACACATTGGGCTGCACACTTTTGGAGAATTGACTTTCTAGGATGGGAGGTTTTGTAGCATTTTGGGAAAATTACTTGTCTTTTTGTGGGTTTGGGAAATCTTCATCAGTAGGGCATATTCAAATTAAAAAAAATTGCACACAACAAGAAAAATAAAAGCAAGAAGCTCAGCTCAGCGGTGAGGGGGCTTGTCATGTATTAATTTTTCATTGCTGTGGAGAATTGTACATACATAATCACTTGATTGCAGTGGGAGTTAGCGAGCTCCTATGGTGTCATTTGCATAAATCTTGTTAAGTCAATGGCAGTTAATGAAGTACAAATGAGCCTGGAGAAGGTGACATGCAAATCGTGGGTGGCAGATGGGAGGTCTGTTTTAGGGATGGCAGCTGCGTGCTCTTTCTTTTTTTTTTTTTTAATATTTTTTTTAATTTTTTTTTTCCTCTGTCCTGCCCCCATCCCCCCCCAGACTGGAGTGTAAATAAATGCGTAAGAGCTGGCCTTGACTTTTCTGCTCCCAGCCCTTCTTCTCTTTGCCCTTTGCACTTAATCACACGTGCTCACACCATTATATACTCCAACAATATAACCTTGACTGTTCTTTTGCCAAAAACTGGCCAAAATCAGTGTTTGACACATTGCCTCCACCCTTGGCTCACCCTGGGAGGTGCTGCCCCTCTCGTGCCCCCAAATTGCTGCATCATTTAGGGATGACAAACTCGAAGCCTGGATTAGAAATAAATGTTCTAATGGTTAGTGCTGTATTGATGACACAGTGAAAAATTTGCCATCCATGACTTGCAAAGGTGAACTTCAGAATTCATTCCCTTCCCTCAGTTTGCAAATGGCTGGATTAATGGAGAAAGTGGAATATCTTATTCAGGCTTTACTTTTAGGTGATATTTCAAATGACCTTCTTCGCCTGCCATCTTGGCATATTTAAGTACATTAAAGTAATCTTGATGAAATTAGGTATTTTGTCTTTTTTTTTTTTTTCCTTTACTCTGACCTAAAAATGGCAAATATTTTTTATGTCAAGGCATGGGGGTGGCATCACTGATTTGCTATTCATGAAGAAGAGTTTGGTTCCTTGATACACAAGTTAGAGTTTTTCCTTAAGATGAGTATAATAAACAAAACTAGCACTTCCCAATGTACATCTGAATTTTATTTTAAAAATCATTAAACTCAGCAAAGGTAACTTTGAAGATGCTCTCATCAAATGTCAAATTTGGCATAAAAAACCTGTCACTTCTCCTCAGCTCCCTACAGGTATAGCTCAGTGTTGCCTGTTTTAGTAGTGATTTTCTACTCCCTCCGCTTCACTACTGATTTC